ATGAGGAAACACAGCAGGTGGCCATTTTGTTTACCCGGCGGCTATTTTGAAACCGCCGAAATGGGGGCTTTGCGATGATCGCTTCCCTGCGATCATCGCAAAGCAAAACTTCCCCATAGGGACCATCGCAAAGCAATCGCTTTTGTGATGGCAAAAAGTCCATCGCAAAGCGATTTCATCGCTATACAGAGCGATCGCTATGCGAGGCACCACTGAATCTATTTACATCATTTAAGCTTCAAAATAAAAGAAATCATATGTTTTAGCAGCACACTTTATGGGCATGGGAATACATCACATTGTCTAGTGCTCAGCGTATTTATTTATTTATTTATTTTTTTATTTTATTTTATTTTATTTTATTTTATTTCTGTCCCGCCTATCTGATCAAATTAGACCACTCTAGGCTGCTATTGCAGATTGTTATCTTCTCTATGTTGATAGGATTGGATATATGGGTAAGATAAGAAGTAGTCAGGCTTTACTCCTTCAGACATCCTTAATGCAGTTTGATTTCCTGTACAGTGGTACCTCACTAGACAACCTCGCAAAACAATGAATCCGTATGACGATGGGGTTTTGCGATCGCTATAGCGATTCGCAAAACAGTGATTCCAATGGGTGATTTTCTCTGGATGATGTTTGGGTCCCTGCTTCGCAAACTATTTCCCACAAGACGATGATTTTAACACTGATCGGTGCTTCACAAAACGGGTGTTTTTGGGACTGATGCTTCGCAGGGCAGCCATTTTAACAGCTGATCGTCACTTCGCAAAATGGCTTCCCTATGGGCAGTCTTCGCAAAACGACGATGATTTTTCCCCATTGGAACGCATTAAATGGGTTTCAATGCATTCCAATGGGGAAATGGTTTTCCCAAGACCATGTTTTCACTAAACAGTGATTTCTATGGAATGGATTATCACCGTCATGCGGGGCACCACTGTATTCCTCTCCATGAAATGCACACAAATTCTTCTGAGAAAGAAAACAAAGACCAATTACTCACTGTTGGTGGCTACAGTTTCTTTTGAAAAGCACGCTCTTGCATGACTGCTTGTTCTTCACTAGAAGTATAGTTTTATGTGTTTGGACTACAGCCTCCAGAGTTTCCTGGACAACATAGCCACTTTGTGCTGCCCCAAAACAACTCTGCACGCTTATGTTCTCCCTTTCATTTCTTTTATACCAGAATCTTACATTTTTTTCCAGACTGGAAGTAAAAGTCCTTTACACAAATTAAAGTGGCTGAGAGTGGTGTTGGATGAAGGACATACCATAAGAAATCCAAATGCTCAGCAGACGAAAGCTGTGTTGGATTTGGATGCACAGAGGAAGTGGATTTTGACAGGTATTTATGCATTTAGAGTGGTAGATAACATCTAGCTAGGATGTGTGTTCATAACACCACAGTGTTTTGTTATGCCTCTTACTTTGGCTTGTAATGTGTGTAAAGTGGCTTTAGATAGGAATGCAGTTTGCTACTTGCTCATGTCCGGAGTCAGTTACTCTTCCAGCAGGCAGCAGATTGCAAACTAGGGGCCGGACATCTGCTTGCAGTGTTATGTGATATGGAAGCACTGCTTCTCCTTTTGTGGCTGCCTAGACCTGCTCTGTGGAAATAGCCTTTGCGGCATAGACAGGCACTTGCTTTGTTACAAATGCCGCCTTTGTAGGAACAAGCATCTTCACAGCTTTTTTTCTTTGCTCTACATGCCTGGCATGGCTTTGAATTTCTACCCCATTAGATATTTAAATAAAAAGTTCTTGTTCTCCCAGGAAATAATCTAATCAGACAGTAAAGACATTGTGATATATGAACTGGTGGTTTTTTAAAAAAAGAAATAGATGTTAAGCCAATTAGAGTAAATTCAAATGTTATTGCCACTTAGTTTTAACAGACTTCTGAACCTTGAACTCAGATTAATAAAAAGTGGCTGTCTCAAGGCAACAGCTGGGCATGATCTTAAAAAGTCAGTGGTGTGTAAACATTCACTTGTTAACTATAGGTAGAAGTGAATAGCAATATAACCAGCTGCACTTAGACTAAGAATCTTAACCCAACTGTATAAAGCAAACAAAAACTTTTATTTGGTGTTTTGTGCTTTTATGCCATAATAGCAGTGTTCCACTTCACACTGCGCATTTTGAAGAGTAGTGGAACTACTTGCATTGTCTTACTTTTTTTCTTTTTGAGAATATGCCACTTTTTCCTTGTTGATAAATGACCTTTTGAGAAATCTTACCAGGAGTTGATTCAGCTGAGAAGTGTGCTTATATTAAAGTTGCTGCCAATACATGACAGGATTCAGAAAGCCTCAAAATTAATTTTGCATGTGACTTGTATGAACCTGCTTGCTTGCTTGATGTAGCCATTTGCAATGGGCTGCAGACTAATGATTGATTGATTTTATATTGGAGTATTAATATATATGCTCATATTGAAAGGGTTATAGACCAAAGGCACTAAAGCATTCTAAGCCTAATAATGCTAATATTTATTTTCAGTTTAAACTCTACTGTGAGTAGACTGAGGTTAGGTGTGTAGTTGGTTAAATATGTTTCAAAAGCTAAGCGAAATAGATTCCTGTTTCATGGTCATGAGAAATATTATTAGTTTCTATAATAATTCATAATGGCTATTAGTTAAACTGAAGTTACTGCTGCTTTGACAGTTTTATTTTCAATAAAACATAGTCATCAGGAACCATACCCAGAACAAAATTGACATACTGCTTTGAGTTTCCATCTGTCTGCCAACCAGTCATTCTCAGTCATGTGTGTATGTAAATATAACTGTATGGAAATGAATAAATGTTTGAAATGCATGTGAGCAGCTTCAAATATGGGTGTCTGGCAAACTAAATATTATTGCACAGCTCGATTTTGAGGTGTAATTTGGTGACTGCTGTATGTTTATGTAATAATTGAAACTAATATTTTGATATAAATATGGAAGTTTGACATTTGAAAGTGTTGGAGATTGTTATATATTGGCTGAAATCCTGTTGTACAGCTCTGTGCACAATGTGAAGCTGTGGTAGTGGAAATCATAGTATGGCAGAAGTTCTGTGCATAAAGCAATTCCTCATGGGTACTATGTAATTTACTTGACAATCCTTGTTGCCTGGATGTGACTCCCAAACTTACACAGTTGTAAGTTTATCTTATGCAAAGACAAACATGATTTCAGCCACTGGATTCTTTTTTTAGTCCAATCTTGACATACAGTGCTGCAGCGCATAATGAGCGCCCCGTTTAACAACGAATCTGCATAGCGATGCATATTTTGCGATTGCAAAAGCAATTGCATTGCGATGTTTTAAATAGGGAAAACATTGCATTGCGATGTTTTAAAACTGCTGATCGGCGGTTCCAAAATGGCCACCGGAAGAAAAAAAGTGGCCGCCCGCAGCGTTTTCGCGCGGTTTCCTCACTTACCGAGGCGGCGAAAATAGCAACCCTATGGAGGATTTCTGCTTAGCGGCAAGTTTTTCCCCCATAGGAATGCATTGAAGGGGTTTCAGTGAGTTCCTATGGGGTTTTTTGCCCCGTATAGCAACGTTTCCGGATAGCGACGATTTATCTGGAACGAATTATCATCATTATGTGGGGCACCACTGTATATCTTTAGAGTGAATAATTTGTTCAGTAATGTGTGCAATATTTCTACTGTGTTCTTCTTCCTTGCAGGGACACCTATTCAAAATTCCTTAAAGGATCTGTGGTCTCTCCTTTCCTTCTTAAAGCTCAAACCTTTCACGGATAGAGAGTGGTGGCACCGAACAATCCAGCGCCCTGTTACCATGGGGGATGAAGGAGGGCTTAAGTATGCACTGATACTAATATGTTTTGCTAGTGTATTGTGTAGAAACACAGATAATATATGAACTGCATTGTACATGAAAAATGCATGTTTTTTCTGGTAATTTTCCTTGTTAAGTAAAATGCAAACAGTTTGGAACCAAGGTGTATCAGACTTGGAAACACAGTGGAATGTCCAGTATTGTCTCATGATTGCTTCTTTCATTTTTCTAGGCGTTTACAATTGCTGATTAAGAGTATTACACTTCGAAGAACTAAAACAAGCAAAGTTAAAGGGAAGCCAGTTTTGAAGCTTCCAGAACGCAAAGTATTTATTCAGCATATTACGCTTACAGAGGAAGAGAATGCGGTCTATAACTCTGTGAAAAAAGAGAGTGTAGCTGCTATTTGCAGGTAAACAATCAGTTAAGTGGAAGAACAAAGTACCAGAAGGTTGCATTCATTGCTGTAATACAGTGGTGCCTCGCTTAACAAGCGCCCTGTTGAGCGATTAAATGGCTTAACGAGGAGCTCTGGGCCATCGCTGGAGCATTCGCTCAGCGATGGCCCCTATGGCGTTTTTTCGCTTTGCGATATTCGCTAAGCGATTCGCTTAGCGAATATCGCATAACGAAGCGATATTCGCTAAGCGATTCGCGGTTCCAAAATGGCCGCTGGAAGGTCCGCGCCGCATTTTCGCGCCCTGCCCTCGCTTACTGAGGGCGCGAAAATGGCGGCGCTATGGAGGAAGATCGCTTAACGGTGAGTTTTAAAGCCATAGGAACGCATTGAACGAAGTTCAATGTGTTTCTATGGCTTTTTTATTTCCGTTTAGCGATGTTTTGCTATAGTGAAGGTTAATCCGGAACGGATTAACCTCGCTATGCGAGGCACCACTGTATAATGTGAAAACCTCTTTCTTGTAGTACAATCTTATACATGCCTATTAATATGTAAGCCGCACTTACATGAATCATACTTTATGCCAGTTAAGTATCTATAGGATTTTATGGATTTTGTACCAGAAATAAACTCTATGGAATAGAATCTTAAAGTATAAAGTTACACATTGTGTAAAATTAAAGTTACTTCTGCTGTCCAACTACAATCTGAATCATATCTAAAAGATAAGAAGTTTGGTTTAGTACACTTAAATACATCATAAATTGTCAAAATGAGAGCAGAAGGGTGGAGAATACAATCAAATGTACTCCTGTTCAGTTACTTACGGGTTTGTTACAATTGTACGCATAGACGTCCATTCTGTTACACATTATGCAGCTCTCAAAACATGAGCATGAGATTTTGATCAAGGAATGACTGATTTATTGTAATAGTCTACATGAATGTAGTAGACTGTTAGGTAAAGGTAAAGGTTCCCCTTGACAATTTTTGTCCAGTCGTGTTCGACTCTAGGGGGTGGTGCTCATCCCCATTTCCAAGCCATAGAGCCAGCGTTTTCTCTGAAGACAATCTTCCGTGGTCACATGGCCAGTGCGACTTAGACACGGAATGCTGTTACCTTCCCACCGAGGTGGTCCCTAGTTATCTACTCACATTTACATGCTTTCGAACCGCTAGGTTGGCGGGAGCTGGGACAAGCGACGGGTGCTCACTCCATCGCATGGATTCGATCTTACGACTGCTTGGTCTTCTTACGATTGCACGGGCTTCTGCGGTTTAGCCCACAGCGCCACCACGTCCCTCTAGTAGACTGTTAGAGAGCTTCAAATCTGTGTAACAGTAATTTGTGTTGTATGTTTAAATTCAAAACATTCTAGATTTTTTTTCCTAGGGAAAAAAAAAACAGGGAAGAGGGGATAAAGGAAGATGAAGGCGAGGTGTTCATTGTTCATTTATGGCTTGATTGACTAAGTTCATTGCAGTGGCCAGCATTTGAGGAATTGTAGATCACAACTATGTTAATCAAGCTGTTTCTACTCTAAATGCCAACATTATTTTACAGATATTTTAATGAGGGAACTGTCTTAAGCAACTATGCAGATGTTCTTGGGGCTTTGGTCAGATTAAGGCAGTTGTGCTGTCATCCCTGGCTCTGTACAAGTACATCTTCATCCAGCACTGTAGAAGGTGAGCAATCCTATTTTCATAATAAAACAGTAGGGTTTTTTAGCTTAACGTTCTGAGATATACGGGTGAAAATCTTAAAACTTGTAGTTTCCTATTTTTAAGTACGATTTTAGTGGCCCTTTAAGCTTTTAACTTGAAATGTTTATTTCCAAAAAGCATTTAAGTACAGCCATTGAATATCTTGTGCCCATTGCCTCTGCAGTTGTGAACATGCTAACAGAAATCGAGCCATAATGTGGCTGTTGAGAAAGCAGTGGTACATAGCATGTTCTGTACAACACTGTGGCTTGAGAAGTTAAAATGTTATTAAAGAAGAAAATATAAGGAGTTAGTGTGTCAAACCAGTCCAGTGAGGACTGATTAGTTGTACGGTAATGCTGTTGTGTAGTGTAAGATGCACTGAAGTAGGCCCATTGAATCAGTGGTGATTTGGTGAGCCAACTCTTCTGTAAGTTGCATTGGTTTAGTGTAAAATTAGTCTAATATGTCCCATTCAATTTGAATCAATTGAACTTATGGTGTTCACTCACCAAAATCCCACTGATTCAGTGGGCCGATTCCAGTGTGACTTACTATACCAAGCAACAGGATTTCAGTCATTCTGTATGGTAGTTGTGAAATGATGAACTGTCAAGGAAAAGAAACCTGGGTTGGGGCCTAGGGGTTGAAAGGGCCTAGTAAGGGGGAGATGGGTATAGGCTGACACTTCAACTCGAGTGCTTCTGTTAGGAAGTGGAACACATTGTGACAGTTTGTTGTATATCACCACTTGTTTCTCCTAAATATTTCTCTACCATTGTGATACATTATAATTGATGATCCAAATTCTAATTCTCTTGAACAGTTTGTATGTCACTTTCTCTGTTGGTAGGTAATCGGACCCCAGAAGAACTACGTGAGAAGTTAATAGATAAGATGAAGTTAGTTTTAAGCTCTGGGTCAGATGAAGAATGTGCTATCTGCTTGGAATCATTGATTTTTCCTGTGATCACTCACTGTGCTCATGTGTTTTGTAAACCATGTATCTGTGAAGTCATTCAAAGAGAAAAGGTTAGAATCACTTTTGTTCAAAGTAATGGCATTATTTCTGGTTGAGGAGAAGATAGTTTGGTTTTTTCCCATAAAACATCAATCCTTTTAATGCATTTGAATTTGAAGTATCTTACCCATTTTGATTCCTCCTGACTCAGTACTACAGAACTTTTGTAATTTTCTTACCTTTACATTGATCAGTTCTGTACCACTGTGCTTGCCTTATATGGAGGTACACAATCACATGGCTTTTTAGGTTACAGAATCATAAAATAGTAGAGTCCATGACGTGGAAGATACCTGCTTGCTAACATTTGTATAAAAACCACATAGAAGTACTAACATCATTGCTGTGTTTTAGTTGCAACTTTAGAAATTTTAGGCAATGATATGTTGTCTTGGTTTTTGAAAATGTAATCCAAAACTACTAGTGATTACCAAATTGTCTATCCCTGGTCTAAGTCTCTCTATATTCTACAATACTGATTCACCTAAATTTAGGTAGTGTTCTCCAGTCACATCTATGTTCCAGTTACCTTTTAAAAAAACTCAGCTATCCCAGTTCATTTATTGTTCAGCAAATAATTAAATGTGAGCTCCTTATTTTGTAGTTGAAGGAAGAGGCTTTTTGTTCTGTCATTATATAAACAGACTTTTGTACAACTTGTACAACTTGTAGAACTTTTGTAGAGTAATAAAATCAAAATGTGTCCTGGGAGGCAACAGCATGCCACTAGAAAAATGGGGATCATCCCATTCTTAGCAGATTAAAATGTGTAATTTCTGGTGTGCCCAGGGTGTTATAGTAAACAGTGATAGACTAAGACAAATCTCTGCTCAAACTATGGGAACTCTCTGTGGGAACACACTTTTCAAGCACACTGAAAAATATATATGATTATGTCCATGCGAGTACGTACACACACACACACACACACACACACAACACACACACATCCAGTTTTTCTCTCTCTCTCTTTCTCTCTCACACACACAAACACACACACACACACACACACACACAGGCGTGTGTGTGTATAAAAAGTACTTAAAATTTGGCTTTATATGTGTGTGTGTGTGTGTGTATGTGTGTGAGAGAGGGAGAGAGTCAGCAACATTTCACCCTTCTGGGGTGTACACCTTAATGTGGTGAGGAGATTTGAGTGTGTCAGGGAAACAGCAAAGCAGTCACGAAGCTAGATTCCATTACAGTCCATACTCCTAGCAAGATAATCCAAGACAAAATGTTTAAAGTTGATGTTGGAGGCTGATATGTATCTGTCATCTTCAGGAATTAACAGTGGAAAAAACAGAAGAAAATTTATAGTTCTGTTGATGGGATGGAGAAATTTTTGAGTGGGAAGTATTGAGTAGCAGTGTTAATGGAGGGTGACAGGGTCTTTTAAGAGACAGTGGCAATGATACTCAGGCTGATCTCTTATCAATATCGTGCAGAAGGCAGCAGTGGCAAATGGAACTCTGAATAGTATACTTCAAACTGTATGGTAAAGGTTCCCCTTGCCATTTAGTCCAGTCGTGTCTGACTCTAGGGGGCGGTGCTCATCCCCGTTTCCAAGCCATAGACCTAGTGTTTGTCTGTAGACAGTTTCCTTGGTCATGTGGCCAGCAAGACTAGACACGGAATGCTGGTACCTTCCCACCGTGGTGGTACCTATTTATCTACTCGTATTTGCATGCTTTCAAACTGCTAGGTTGGCAGGAGCTGGGACAAGCAATGGGAGCTCAGTCCATGGCTTGGATTTGATCTTACGACTGTTGGTCTTCCGACTTGCAGCACAGAGGCTTCTGCGGTTTAATCCACAGCGCCACCACGTCCCAGACTGTATGAGACTGTCCCAAATAAAACAGGAGCCCCTAGGAGTCCCTTCAAGGATTGCTGTCTTGTTGTGACGAAGGGGCTTGAGTAATTCAGAGAAGCTATGGGCTACGCTGTGCAGGGACACCCAAGACGGACAGGTCATAGTGGAGAGTTCTGACTAAACACAACCCACCTGGAGCAGGAACTGGCAAGCCACGCCAGTATCTTTGCCAAGAAAACTCCATGGACAGAAACAAAAGGCTAAAAGATATGATGCTGGAAGTTGAGCCCCTCAGGTCAGAATACATCCAACATGCTACTGAAGAAGAGCGGAGGACAAGGACAAGTAGCTCCAGAGCTAATTAAGTGGTTGGGCCAAAGCCGAAAGAAGGCTCAGCTGTGGACATGCGTGAAAGTGAAAGGAAAGTCCGATGCTGCAAAGAAAATTACTGCAGCCACGAAATTAAAAGACTCCTTCTTGGGAGGAAAGCGATGACAAATCTAGACAGCATCTTAAGAAGCAGAGACATCACCTTGCCGACAAAGGTCCACATAGTCAAAGCTATGTTTTTTCCAGTAGCTATGTATGGAAGTGAGAGCTGGATCATAAAGAAGGCTGACCGCTGAAGAATTGATGCTTTTGAATTGTAGTGCTGGAGGAGACTGGTGAGAGTCTCCTGGACTGCAAGGAGATCAAACCTATCCATTCTGAAGGAAATCAACCCTGAGTGCTCACTGGAAGGACAGATCCTGAAGCTGAAGCTCCAATACTTTGGCCATCTGATGAGAAGAGAAGATTCCCTGGACAAGACCCTGATGTTGGAAAAATGTGAAAGCAAGAGGAGAAGAGGAAGACGGAGGATGAAATGGTTGGACAGTGTATCAAAGCTACGAACATGCTGGGAGGCAGTGGAAGACAGGAGGGCCTGGCGTGCTCTGGTCCATGGGGTCACGAAGAGTCAGACACGACTTAGCAACTAAACAACAACAATGCTAGGAGATGAGCCTCTTTGGTCAGAAGGCATTTAATCCTGGGAAAGGACAAGAGGATAGGTCTGAGTATTACAGTGGTGAATGAAACAACTAGATCGGATGAAACATCTAGTTGCCAATGTGCACAGAGGCAAAAGGGAAAGCAAGTGCTGCATGATATGTAGAACTTGAACTTGGAATGTTAGCTACAGGAGTCGGGCTTAAAATAGTAATACAATGGGTTGTTGAAAGATGATATTGGGGTGAGCAAACTAAAACATACTGAATTAGGAAATGTTCAATTGATAGAGTGCTCTCCTTTCAAGACAGTCAGAAGCAATTATGTGGTTGCAATAGTGAGACAAGATGTGCTATATAGAAAGAGCCTTGTGGCACAGTGGTTAAACTGCAGTACTGTAGCCAAAATTCTGCTCACAATTTGGTTTCAGTCCAGGTAGCCAGCTTGAGATTCACTTCCATCCTTCTGAGACCAGTAAATTGAGTACCCAGCTTGATGGGGAATAGCAAAATGTGTAGCCTGCTTAATGAAATTGTAAAGTGCCTAGAGAGTGCTGTAAGCACTATTAGGTGGTATATTTTTAAAAAGTTGGAGTATCATAAAGGAAAAGTTTGTTAGCATTACAGAAGAAATCAAAAGCTTTTATTCATGTCTAGGAGAAAATTTATCACACCAGCAAAACATGAATAGAAAGCAACATTAGGAAATGAAGCAGAACCAAACATTGTGGGAGAAGTTGGCATAAAAGGAGAGCAACTCAGAATATTTTGAAGCCAACAATTTGTTTATTGCAAATACATCAGATAACTGACCAGAGAGTTGTACACATGGACGTCAGAAGATAGTTGGTTTACAAATAAAAAGCTACACAATTATAACAAGAAGATGGAAAAACTTTTTCTTCAAAAACAAAACCATGAACTGTTAGTGTTCATGATTGCTCTAATTTTTGATACTAACAAATATAGTATCAGAATTGAAGAATTTAAAGATTATATAAAGAAGAGGTTTACATTACTAAACTCAGTTGACTGAGCCAGAAGAACTGAATTGAAACCAGAGATATTGTCAGGTAAGAATCAAGAGACAATTCCTGTCAAAGAAAAGAAAAGCTTCATTGGATGACTGATGAAATGCTAAAAATCTGCTAATGTGAGACAAGAAGCAAAAATAAAAGGACATAAACAGTGTCAGAATCCTAAATGCAACTTTTTATCATCTGGCATGTAGGGACAATGAGATTTGTTACAGTAATCAGTGCAAAGAAATAGAAGGGAAGGACAGAACAGAAAAACAGATTTATTTGAAGAAGCAAGAAATCTCTTGAGTTCTTAAATAGCCGTGACTTACCATTCAAATAGATGGGTGGAAGTAGCAAAATTCTGGCCATTATGATAAAATAAGATATATTGCAGAAAGCGTGATAAAGGAAACCACAGCTTTTACTTTACAGGACTTGAACAGGACTGTTAATGATCTCCAAAATATCTTATCATTAATTCATAGGGTTGCGTCGCCATATGGTACTTGTGTGGATTTAGCAAAACAAAAATGCTAATAGCCAAACTTGTTTGGAGCTACCATGTTTCCCCAAAAATAAGACCTAACCTGAAAATAAGTTCTAGTATGATTATTTTTCAGGATGCTTGTAATATAAGTCCTACTCTAAAAATAAGCTATAGTTAAGTGAAACTCCACCCTCCACCATTGGGCAGCCTTGTGCAGCAACCAGAAAATGACATGACTGTATTTAAGGAAATGTAGATTATTTTACATAAACGAAAAATATCCCCCGAAAATAAGCCCTAATGTGTTTTTGGAGCAAAAATTAATATAAGACCCTGTTTTACTTGGGTGGGTGTGTTGAATGGTAACATATTTTAATGGATTGTCCCTCTGCAGTGTTCACATAGCTTAGTGAGTTAGACATCTGGCTGTGGAGTCAGAGGTTTGAGAGTTCAGTGCCCCACTGTGGCCCTGGCAGAAGAGCCAGCCTGTGTTGCCTTGGGCAAGCTGCACAGTCTCAGGGTGCCCCGAGAAGAGGGGAATGGTAAACCACTTATGGAATACTTTCTGCCTAGCACATTCTGAAAAGGGTCACCATAAGGGATAATTGACTTGATGGCATATAATCATTAATATTAGTGTTTACTTGGTGGGTTATTGTATGGCAAATGTTGTTCCTCCTGACGCTATAGGTTGGCTCCTTGCGGGGAAAATTCAGATAACTATTCAGGGAAGCATACAAGTATTTTATGTGTTCAAAATGTATTTAGCATTTAAGTATAGCTTGCCAAATGGCAAGGTATTATTTCAGAAGAAATAATCTCCACACTGTTATTTTCCAGGCCAGTGCTAAATGTCCTCTTTGCAGAAAAGAGATTGGATTAGAGCATTTGGTAGAATGTCCTTTAGAGGAATCTGATAGTGGAAAAAAGACTGACAAAGAATGGGTACCAAGTTCAAAGGTAAGTGCAAGATTTGAACTTTTTCTTTTTGGCTCAGTGCTTCATCTGAAGAATATGCTCTTAATGATAACTAAGGGAAGAAATGTGACAAAGTCTTAAAACTGCAAATGAATGTAGTGTCTGCTTGAATTATAACTAGTAGCCTAGAATGGTGCTCTTAACCAGTGGGCCATACTACTCCACTGGGCTATATAAGAATTTCAGGAGACACATCTGTAGTTTCAAAATGCATATTCAGTAGTATATTTTTTAAAAATTTGGACAATGCAGGGAAAACCTGTTATGTCTCTTGCTTAGCAAGTAGCTTATTGCCTCATCCTGTGACATGAATTGTGGTCCTGTTGTTTTTCCCTTAGCTTTTGTACAAACTGTAATGTGTGGTTTATGAGTTGCAGGTACAACCCTGCACTTCCCTTAATGTTCTCTTCGTGGAAGCTACTGCTCCACTCTAAAATGCTAAGTTTTTCCTTCAGTAGCGCTTGAAAGAGGAAGAATGATTAGGGGAAGGGGAAGCACTCACCAATATCTTTCCCTCCAAAAGTGGCAGTGTTTGAAATTTCAAATGAAATTATTGGACAAGGTAGGTTTGGGAGATTTTTGTTTACTGAAAATGGGCATACATATAACGTTGAAAAACACTGGTACGGAACTGCAGATTCTTAAATTGAACGCTTCAAGCTATTTGGGGGCTACCAATCTTGGGATTTATAGTGAATAAACTCTACACTAATTAACATTAAACCCACCAAATTTATGTAGCAGACCTCGCTATTCAGGGTGTGACACAAAGAGGGTGGGACAGCTGTTTGGCCTGCCTTACCAATCCTCTGTTTTCAGCTTGGAGTAAAAAGTGTTTTATTACTTTTTATCTCCTCTGCTGACTTGTGGAACTACAGCCTCTCATGGGCATTTAAACACCACGCTTTAGATTCTTATCGCACAGTATCTAGACTAATTTCTTTTAATATGCCACATTGAACTTTCAATAAATTTGGCACAATCTGAATCAGTCACTTTTGCTGAACAGAGGGAGAATCTATGCTGTTTCTGAGTTGTGTGTGGTTTCTTTTTTAATGATTCATTCATTCCTCCTCCTTTTGGTCTCAACCATGGAAAGGCAATCTGGATACAAAAGCAAAGAGATGGTGAGAAGTCAACCAGAAGAAATCACATCAGTGGAAAATACTCCACATTTAAATTTGTGAATTCTGAAAAATTACATGTTCAATTAGCACAGTTCACACACAGGAATGTGTGTGAAAAAAACTTGAAATTACAAAAGGAATCCTTTATTCAGTGGCAATGTGCCAACGAAGTCCTTCCAATTGTGCAAGTGGATACTGCTCAAAAGGATTTTGGCTATTAGTATGCTTGAGGTGCTGCTTCCTAAAGAAAATATACTGCATAAATTGTACGTGCCAGAAGTCTTGTTTGCGTCTCTGGGCTGCAGTTTTAGATCTCCATAGGAATAATTCTCTCTTAACTGAAACTAGTTTTCTTTACTTCCCCATCTTTGTGTATATTGATACAAATTTCTGGTTGACTGGTTGGTTGTCTTTCATCTTTTTAAGGGCAAGAATTTTTGATGCACAGTAGAACCAGTGTTTATGGCTTGTAAAACAAAATAACTTCTTTTGTTTCAGATCAATGCACTAATGCATGCTTTGATAAAACTAAGGAAGCAAAATCCAGCTACCAAGAGTTTAATCGTTTCTCAATTCACAAAATTCCTGTCTCTGATAGAGATTCCACTAAAGTAAGTTGACTTGTATACTTGAATAAAGTACACATTTACTAAAAATAGGCTTGTCAACCAAGAAAAAGGAGTGGGCTAAAAATGATTAATTATTACTATGGTAATGGCTGCCAAACTGCTGATTGTTAGAAATTGGAAATTGGAGAGAGAGCATGTGTGTGCGTGTATGTATGTGTATATATGTATATATATATCCCATACATACATATCAGTTAACTAAATGGTACAGTGAAATAGCTGCAATAAGTGAAAACAGTGAAATAAGCTGCAATATACATGGGGTTGTTAAAAGAGAGTAAGTTTGTTGAAATCTGGCAAGACTTTGAATCATGTGTTAAAAGAAAGGTGAAGGTTCTTTCCCTAAACTTGAGATGTTATTCTGGAAGAGTTATGAGGCATCATAACAACAATATAATATATATATATATCTACTGGTCAGGGTGGTGGGTACACTAATATTGCTTAAGTTTGTTTTTGACTTGTGTAGACTTTATGTTTTAAGATACGAAAAATACTTTTGTTTTATGTTGGATTGTTAATAAAATAGAAAAAATGGGGGGGGGAAGCAAGGAAAAGGTTGAAAAATATAAATATTATTTGTAATGCTATATAGCTGCAGTTTTGCCCAGAACATAAATTTTTCAAGCCTAACAAATGATAAGTCCATTCTAACTATCAGGAAACTTAATACAGTAGTTCGACTGCTGCACAATTTGTTACTTTTTGTGTTTCAGAGAATCTGGGTTTGCCTTCACCCGGTTAGATGGATCCATGGCTCAGAAAAAGAGAGTTGAGGCAATTCAGCAATTCCAAAGTGAAGAACCAGGGTCCCCAACAGTCATGTTATTATCTTTGAAAGCTGGTGGCGTTGGTTTGAATCTGACAGCAGCTTCACGGGTATTTTTAATGGATCCCGTAAGTATAAACTCATTTATTTGATCAATGTTGATTTTTGATGGCCTGTACAACATATCCTAGAAATCGTAAGAAGGGAATATAATTCTTTAAGGCTTCTTGTAGCTACAGAAGTTCTAGCTTCTGTTTTCATGATAGAAAAACCTATAGAAAATCTGCTAATATGCAGTCTGTATTGATTGCCTTCAACACCTAATGTTGAGTACACAGAAGCTCTATTCAGGCAACCATGAGTTCAGCCTTCTGAACATGCTTTAGTTTTCTTCTTCTGAAGATGATAGAGAAGGCTAAAGAAATTTCTGTTTATATGCAAGTTTTGTGGTTTACAAGAGCATAAACTTTTTCCTCTGATTGAGAGACTGCACCAGAATCACATATTATGTATTTCACTTTCTGTAACATAGCTTTATCTGTGATCAAGAAAAGCTTATATCAGCAATAGAAAATGTTTACTTCTGGGAACTCATACATGACCAGACAAATATTAATCCGGAACTAGGTAGTGGTGTACTGCAGTGCTGCATCAGTTGCAGCAAAATAAACAGTACTTGCTACCTGTAGAGCTATCTAAAAGAAAACAAACCTCAAGATTTATCATAGGTGACTTCTGATGCCACTTCATTATATTAAAAAATTCAAGTCCTCTTTCACAGGACTGTAGTGATGTAATTTAAGAATCTCAGCTTTGAAAGTATTGTTTTTCATAAGGCTTGGAATCCTGCTGCAGAGGAACAGTGCTTTGATAGATGTCACAGACTTAGACAGAAGCATGACGTTACCATCACCAAGGTGAGCTGGCAGTTCTTTTAAGCACTGATAAGAAGGATTGGTGGTGTAAATGCAGCTTCAGAGTATTAACATACCTATAGACAGCTTTGATACCATGTGCAAATTTGCTCATTCTTACTCCAAAGCATCTGGCTTCTGCTTTGGCTGACTGCATGTGGGCAAAACTCTTTTTAAACAATGACATTCTAACATTCAGCTGTTTGATGGCAAAAAGGGAAGCAGTGACTGAATCCTGCTTAGCTTTCCTGAACCAAGTGATTGGGAGTTTTTTTTCCAAGGCTTAGCTTTTGAGCAGGAAGGGAAGCATGGTTTTAGATAATCAGCCAAATAGAATACTTTTTCTATGCATATATTGTGATACTGAGATAAGGTGCTGATTTAAGGGAAAGCTTTATTTTCAAGAAGTGCAGTATTTGAAAATATAAGCGTAGGTGAAGTCATTACAGATGTGGCATAGTTGCACCTACTGTATTTCAGCCATTGTTTACTATGATTCCACATTTACGGGTTTTATTTCTTGTAGGATCTTCATGTTGAAATGTTGTAAATAGATACAGTTGTATACCATGTTTTCCCAAAAATGTGATAGGGTCTTTTGCTTCAAAAAAAAAGCTCTAGGGCTTATTTTCAGGGAATGTTTTATTTTTTTCGTGTACAACAATCTACATTTATTCAAATACAGTCATGTCATCTTCTTCTGGTTGCTGCCCAGTGATGGAGGGCGGGGTTTCACTTAACTGGGGCTTATTTTTAGGGTAGAGCTTATATTACGAGCAACGTGAAAAATCATACTAGGGCTTATTTTCAGGGAAACAGGGTACTATTAGATATAACATTGTTTGCTTATATCTTTTACCCTTTTAAAATGGCATTAGTTCATTGTGAAGAACTCTGTGGAAGAAAATATGCTGAAAATCCAGGACAAGAAGAGAGAACTTGCGGCTGGAGCCTTTGGAACAAAAAAAACATCTAGTGAAACAAAAATTAATGACATTAAGACTCTGATGGATTTATAATTTGATATGTTATTACCAAGTCCCACTTCAGTGCGATTTAATTCTACCTATTAAGTGCAGATATCCTGGACCTCTGCATTATGGACTTCAGAAGCATGACTTGAAACCATTATGCATCAGTTTTCAAACTGAACTAGTACCCTTATATTTTATGTTATGTTTAGTGTACAAAAAGCTTCTGAATATCATTCTCAACAAAGCTATGCTGAGAAAAACAGTAACACTTTAGCAAACAATATCCCCTGTAATTGAAATATTTAGAGCATTAACAGCAATATTAGCATGCTTTTCTGTAGTGAAGCAGGTGATCTCAGTTTTGTAGTGTCTATAGTCACAGCAAAGTTTTCTAAGAGGACAGAGCACATGGGATAAGAACCGAGTTGCCCTATTCTTCCATCTATACTACATTTAATGGCACAACATTTTATTTGTTTTTAGTTCAACAAGGTCTGCGAATCTAGTCTTTTTATTGGAGTTCCTTTTCTGATACTCCATGGTTTGCACCACACTCTATAGCTGGAATTTGTATGAGACCACACAGTGACTCTTTGTAGGCAAAGTACTTGTGGAGCCAAAACATCTAATCTTGAATGGGAGTAGTTAAGTGAGGATTCTCTGCCTGAAATCTGATCAGTTTTTACTACTCAAGTGAACTTTTGTTTTGATTAATACTGCCTCTGTTCTGTTACTGTGGTGGAAAAATCACATTGCTGAAATAGTAAAACCTCAGTAATTTTGTGAAAGTTTTATTTCTAGGTAAATAAAATTGTGGTTTATCTGGAAGCTGGTATTCTAACTGTGAAACTTTCTGTGGTTCTAGTTACTTGAGTAAATAACTTGTGAAAAATTCTGGCCAGATACTGCACTGAATATCCATCCCTCTGCCCCATTTCGCTGCCAGTAATAAACATACCTACCTTTAGGCTTAACATTAAATCTGATCATCTTGGAGGGGGCAGTTGCAAGCTCAAATTTCCTAGGTAATAACTCTGCTTCTTTTCTTCCTTGAAAAATAGGGTAATGCTGCTGTTTAAAAGTTTTATTAGATTTTAATTGGTCAGTACCACATTTCTCCTGCCATTTTGTCCAAATAGTCTGGTTGCATTCCATGTTGTGATGGATAATTTTGTTTGCCTATTATAGATTTTGGCATTATAGATATGACAGTGGCAGACAATATGCTGAAAATCCAAATGTTAGGATGCAAATGTCTCTGTTCCTAACATTTGGGAGAAATGTGTTTAAGAGTACTCCTAAACTTCTACACTTGACACACAACACAGTTATTAGGCAGTGAGACTTCAGCTAAAATAGTAGCTGCCTTTCTGGCAACATGACATTTGTTTTTCTGTCAGCATATAGGATTGTAGCAGGATGTCTTGCTAATGCTATGAAGTGTGTGCCCCACTCACCACTACTTTTGACTGTGAGCAAGCCAGTCAGGGAGAAAAGCCTAGGTAAAATGCATACATACCTATCTTGTTCTGACCCATGCTTGTATTAATATAATAAAAAATGTGTGCCATACTATTTTATGGTGAAGGATGGTTGTTCCTCAAGCAAACAACACTGTTTACTGGCTAGTTACCTACCAAGCAATGAGGAAACGTTAAGTGGTAATAGCTAGAGATGCTTTTAGATTAGTGTCCTGCTAACAGAACCTCTGCTGCATATTTCTCAGTCATGCTTAAAATTCAAAACAGCATTTTATGACTCACACAAGCAAATAAAATGCCATTAATACATGTATTCCCACTATTACAGCTCATTTAGCACTAGAAAGGCAATTTTTAGCAGAATGGAAACCTTGCATCTCAACAGCCCTGCAGTAAATGTTTTTTAACACAAACTTTCAGAGCTGCCAGAGAGGATTTATGTTGATACCATCTACCTACATCTGAGGTGGGACTTGAAAAAGATGAGTACCATAGATTTTATTACCATGATATATTTTTATTCTGTAGTTTGAGTGCCATTTTACAGGTAACAGTTCAAAAGGTTTTTTCCCTTTGACTAGTCCCAGCAGTACACAGAACTGAACAAAAGCATTTTGCCATGCTGTGGGTGCTGTGCATTGAAGTCTGGTCAGAATCTTCAATATGATTGGAACTGACAGGAAGGCAATGTCATTACAGTGTTGCTTCTTTTCATGTCCTTTGTATAAGGCCCCTTCATTGTAGCTGCCTTGACATCTAGCTATTTTTTAACATAGCAAGCAAAACATGGTTTGGGAGTGAAGGGAAGGAGAGATAAAGCACAGGTCTAAATGGCCAGTCTTGTGTCCTGTTCCCAATGAGTTCTCTATAGGCATGTTCATCAGGTTTTGTGCAAAAAGGATTTGATAGTTGAGACACATGATTGGCACAAGGATTCATACCTCAAACAGATTTTGCTCAGTTCTCACCTTCAGTGTACTGCCTTCAGCTGAGCAGTTGCAAAGCTGCTAACTAACTGACCCTATCTGACTTTCCTAGTTGCTATAGCACTGAAAAGTCCTTGTATTGCTGATGTCTGTTGAGCAGATACAAGTGTTTCTACTGGAGGTAGGTATCAAGCTTTTTCTTAATGTTGTCAAAGCTGTCTGCTCCCATGTAGTCTGCCTGGCCCTGCTCCCATTTTTCTCTGCGCTCCTCTGAAGACATAGGTGGTGGAGATGGCGGTGAATGTGGTGGTGCTGTAGACGAAAGTGACAGTTGGGACACTGCCTCTGTTACCTCCTCCTAAAAAAAAGGGCACAGGTGAGTGGGAGAGGTACTGCTGCCTCAGTAGGAAAACAGGTAAGCATAAAGCAACAGTGCAGAGGGTAGGACAACCAATGAGAGATTCCCATGCAAAGCAGCAAGTACCATTTACAAAATTTAAGCTGGAAAAAAAAGGAAAAAGAAAAAAAGCCCAGCATGTCTAAGTCAATGAGATGGCAGACAGGTAGTTAACAACAGGTTTAAGTTCTTCATACCTCTCTACAGAAGCCACAAGAGAAAGCCAGTGTATAGACCAAGCCCGATAGCTGAAAATAGTTCATTAGAAAGATGAAATAGGGACAACAGAAAGCATAGCTCAAGAACAGGTCAATACTTTTGTTCTCAGAAAGGTCTAAGAACTTAACTATTGTGTTTTCTATATACGTACCAAGCTTAAGTGGTTGAAGTTGCACTGCATGCATTATTGGATTGCGTGCATGAAAAGCTAAAGCCAACTCGTTTTGGCTAGATACAGAAAAGACCAAACGAGCAAGAGAATCATGGTGGTTCTAACAGAAGTGATTAGTTCCAAGTATCTTAGGTTAATGTTTTCTCTGGTTTTGATACAAGCAGTGTTTAAGACGGCAACACTACAGTTCGATCTGTTCCAAGAGACTGGAGCAGGGGTGAAGAATATTTGGCCATACAGATGTATTTAAAATACAACTCTCACAATTCTATTCCATGGCTATGCTGGTGGGGGCTGATGGGAGTTGAAGGCCAAAACATATGGAAGGCCAAAGTCCTCCACTCAAGTTTAGAGACAGCAGAGGAACTATTCACAGTAGGGGAGAGGCTTCAAGATAGAACTCTGGTTATTCTCTTTAGACCTGTTTGTGACACGCATCGCACATTTGTGCACATGCTAGTCTACTTCCAAATCCTGTCAGACCTGAATATTTAACAGCAATGTGTCAATTTCACTGAAAGCTTTTAAAGAACTTGACAAACAGAAAATTAGAAAACTTGCTACAGCTAAAAGGAAGGTAAGGAATCCCTTGGTCAGTTGATGACAGCTATAGAAAATCTCTTGGGACTAGATCTAAAACTTGCTAACAAATATAAAATTATTACCAAAATTACACAGTGCATATACGATTAGAGGGGGCGCTGCAAGCTAGCTACACATTCATCTGCAAATATTCATGCCAAACAATTATTTTGCTGAGACTTCTGATTGTGAAGACTAATCACCACGTTCAGATTCCTCAAGAGATCTTTTCAGTTATTCTACAGAATGAAGGTGTGGGTTGCAACCATTCTGCACACTACCAGTGGTGCCTCGCATAGCGAGGTTAATCCGTTCCGGATTAACCTTCGCTATAGCGAAACATCACTGAACGGGGCAGGAAAAGCCATTGGAACACATTAAACAGTGTTTAATGTGTTCCAATCGGCGCCTTTACTCACCGTTCAGCGATGTTCCGGGATGGCCGGCAGCCATTTTCGCGCCCTCCCCTCGCTTAACGAGGGCGCGAAAACACCGCGCGGCCATTTTGGGGCTTCCGGCGGCCATTTTGGCCGCCGAACAGCTGGTCATCAGGGCTTCGTTTTGCGAGTCGTTGAGTGATCGCATTAGCGATCCCAACAAAGGGATCGCTATGCGATTTCGTCGTTGTACGGTGCGCTCGTTAAGTGAGGCACCGCTGTATTTCATTCTGAAGAACAGTCCACAAGCAGTGTACAATACAGTCAAATTTTGAATACTCAGGGATGTGTGTGTATATTATGGGATTATTAGCATGATGCCATTTTAGGCACCCCTCCCCTTCAAAAACTAATGCACGTAGATGCAGTGCTTCATATCTACAGAAATGCTGATCTAGCATTAGCTTGAGCATCTGGATTTACTGAATCTTATACTTAAGGTGGACATTCCAGCAGCATGACCCAGCATGTATATATAATCTAATTCATATAAATGGGGACAAGCAAGGCAGTTCATAAAATGCAACATGGGCTGATTGAAGTGGGAGTGCTCAACTATTCTCATCCCGTATTCCTACCCTTTGTAAATTAAGTGTCTTCCCCACATTTTTTTACAAATCTTACTGGGGGAAAAGAACTTGGGTAAAAGAAGTGATGGGCAATTTCAATGGGTCTAGTGACTGATCTACCCCTCCACCAGGATTAATTTATAACAGGCTGCATCCACTGCCATATTTTTCTTTTGTGTTTCTTTGAAAACAAATTGCTAGTAGCTCAATTCAATTTGAGGAGGAAACCCGACATCACTAATTTTCTCTAAAATGAAGCTAGGAACTAGAGATGAGGGTATTTGTATAGGAATATCCCCACACAGGGGGCGTTAACAAGGATCCAGCCCCCCTGAGGCTGGATGGTCCACTCAGATCTGCCATGGACACGGACCGCACGATTCTACCAATGGATCCGCACCGTGCAATCCGCTCGCTACAATCTTGCAGTGAGGCTTGTCCTTCCGCCTCCCACCAGGAGTGGTGAGCGGATTGTGTGCTGCGGATCCATCGGCAAATCGCGTGGTCCATGTCGGATTGGTGAGTGGACCATCCGGCCTCATGGGGCTGGACCCTTGTTAACACCACCTCTGCGGGGATATGGGATATTCGTATACTAGAAACTTTTTTGCAGCCACAAAAACAAGTGGAGCTTGCAAACTTCAGAATATGCTGTCAGGGAGGGATTCAATGAATGGGACGGCAGCCACCTTGTGTCCTTTTTTTCCGTATTTAGAACTACAATGCAGGTATGGTTTGACTAAACCCGAGGGATGGGGGGCAGAATTGTGGCCTCCATTAAATGTCTCCTCTTCATCTTTGCTTTTCACAAATGAATTCAAGCCCTATTGCATATTCTGTGTTGCATATAAAACAATTTAACACTCTGATCCACCAACCCCTTAAGAACTCCAGGCCTCTCTGTGCTATACAGGGCAGAGGGGAACTAATCCTGCTGACTGCAAATTCACTAGTCAGCTTGTTTATTAGCCCTGCTAGTGCAGGAGTGAAAGCTGTTTTTGTAGTAATCATGCTCATTTCAGATGACTTCAGTTTGATTCTACTAAACTAAATAATGGCTTCATGTAAACAAAGGACACAGCTTTTATCTCTCCACACGCGCTCAAAATATGTAGAATACATACCGCCTTTATACCAGTAGTTGTATCTTTAATGGCACCATGCTGCTGTAGTAATGGCAAAACATTTGTGACAAACGTTTCCCACCACATATTCAGGAACTCTGGATGGACCATTGTAGGATCTTGAGGATCTTCTTTGATGCTTTTGGCTTTGGAGTCATATGTGTAGTTCCATGGCTTCATCCTCCCCAGGAAGTGCACCACCTTAGCATTTGTCCCAAACCTGTCAGAAGAAGGAGAGGTCTGCCTGAGGGATGGGTGCAGAACACAGTATTTAGCCATGGCTCCCCAATGCAAGAGCAAACATTCCTTATTTCTAGTCCAATAGGGTAATTAGCTCCTAGAAAACTGCTCTCACTTTTGTTTTGAAGACTGGAGTTTGCAATAAGGCCACCGCTATAGAGATTTGATACAGCTATTAGGGCCATTACCCAGTTATATCTGCTTAGCATGAAAGCTGTATTTCACCACTTGAAATTAACTTGAAGTTCACCATGCAGATAATGCAATTCACTGCAAGAGGAACTCAAGTCTGTAGCCGATAATAAGTTCAGAGTGCTGCAAAGGTTGTTTTTTTTTTACTACAACTCTCAGAACACCTTAGTACTGTATACTTAGAAAAGCCAATGGTAAGGGCAAATGAGACTTATAGTCCACCAATAAGTGGGGAGCCACAGGTTCTCCAGCCTTACCCTATAATGTATACATGCACAAAGTTATTCAGAGTGGTCAAAGGAACAGCTGCTCCACTGTTTCAGTCAGGTACATGTAACTTAAAATACATCTGCCATATAATGGACTACTGGAATCTAAGAAACTATATGTACAATGGTGACTCGCTTAGTGATCACGCCGTTGAGCGATGAAATCGCTTAGCGATGGGGTTTTGGCCATCACCAGAGCGATCACTTAGTGACAGCCCCTATGGGGAAAAATTGCTTTGCGATGATCGCAGGGAAGCGATCATGGCAAAGCGACCCTTTTTGCACAGCTGATCGGCGGTTCCAAAATGGCCACTGGAAAAACAAAATGGCTGCCCACTGTTTTGCCTCGCTTTAGAGGCACCGAAAATGGCCACCCCTATGGAGGATGTTCACATAAGGTCAGTTTTTAAGCCCACAGGAACGCATTAAACACATTTTAATGCATTTCTATGGGCTTTTTAAAATCACTTAGTGATTAAACCGCTTAGCAATGTTTTTCCTGGAACGGATTAACATCGCTAAGCGAGGCACCACTGTATAGACATTTGTCAATAACATGGCTCCTGAGCTGCACTGTATAAGCTTGGTGTTCTGAATTACTTCTGAACCTGTACTATGTCATGATGTAGAGCAAAGTTCGGAAGGAATTCTTAGATATGACACCGACTGCACATTTCCTATTTACTTATGAGAAAATATCTCCATCTCTTCATCCTTTCAAGAGTTTAGAGCACTCTCATTTTGGTAATACACGATTGCACTGAATACACAGAAAACTACTTTAATGAGCCACTGCTCAATTCCTTTTGCTACCGTCATGATCACCAGTACTCCGTTTTGTAAGAGTTCTGGACTGGATTTAGAAGGCGGGGGCATGAATTTAGTAACAGATACTGGAATTAATTCATTAAAAAAATTTGCTACCCCTAATTCCTTCTAATTTTTGACAGTGAAGTGTAAAATCAAACCAGAAAGGAAGCTATTTCTCCCAGATCTATCACCATTGTATGGGAGTGAGCTGTTGCGTTCATTCGATAGGATCTGGTGTACCTTAGAATACGTTGAATGTATTTGTTCAGTAACATTCCTTCCAGGTTTGCTGTACAACAATTGAGTAGCATTAGTTTGCTGCTGCTGAGCAAAAAAGCTATATCAAGTACTTGAACTTCTTTGAGACATTGACACCACTATACAAAAGGCATTTTTTTTAACTTGGAGCTGGCAGTCAAACTTGCTTTCAGTAAATCTTTTTTCCATTCTAAATAAACAGTATACTAGATGTGTATCATAACAGGGTTTAAAATATAATTCATTCCATGAGTTGTAGTTCTTTGGCACAGCCTAAATTCTCTGTCCTCAGGACACCTTGTGTTCAGCTTTTGAAGCTGCCAGATTCTAGTGACTCAGCTTTCAGCCACTATGAGGACAGAAAAAGGAACCATCTTGATCAGAGCGATGAAAACTGACCTCAAACCTTTCTTTAGCAAGTGAAATAAAGGATTTCCATGTTGCACAATGAGTAGCAAAACGTTTCAACCTAATAGGAAAGAAGTCCAGTTGCTATGACTCAACTTCCAGATAATTCAAGCTGAAAGAAATTCTACTGCCAAAAGACAAGCTTCACAATACCATTCACTGAGCCAGATATTCTCTTTCTACCGCGTTTGCACAAACTTCCAAAAATAAATGTTCTAATTTTAACTTGACACCACCTCGTATGATGCTCAGATCACAAGACATAGTTTGAACCTGAGCCACTGAAACCACTCTTTACACTAGCTGCTCCATTAAACTCTACTTATGTTGCCTGGATACTAGTTCACACAATTTTTCCATTTACTACTGGACACATAAGTGGCATGGCTCAAGAGATTTGCTTTTACTTGTATTCTCCCAAAGAAAAATTTAAAAACGAAATACACAAAACCATTCAAAAGTTATTGAATATGAAAAGTAGCCAGCTAGGCTATATCAGGAAAGGGAAACACACATCCTATACATCAGGGCAGGCAACTCTGACTCTCAAGATGGTTTCAGACCACAATTCCCATAATTTCTTACCATTTGGAGAGCCATAATTGCTCATACCTACTATAGATACTTTCTCTAAAACCCATCGGCTCCACAACTATTGCCACAAAGGGATTAGGTCTACTAACAGGGAACGACTGGTACAGTCTGCAACTACATTGTGTCCTCATGTCTAGTCAAAGGAAAAAGTGCCCGAGTGCCAGTACAGGATCTTCAACGGTGACTCACTGTATTCTGTTTTCAACCACTCGCTTGTTCAGAGAGATGACAACTCAACACTACGTTTTGCTAAAGCCATTTCCTTCCCAACAAGGGAAAACATGGAACTCGTGCTGTACATACATATGTCATGCTTCAGACAGTTGGGGACTAGCAAGGCTGTTTTAACCATACACCTCATTTCTGCACAGGAATTGATGGCAAGGCTCCTATACAAAGGATAATATCAGAACCTCACAGATTCCAATTTTGGGAGCAATATGGAAATAAGTAATGTCGCAGACAATTCCCACATAGCATAGGGATTCCAGTATTCCATATCATGGAAGTAACAAAGTCACATTGCAATAGCTTCAGTGAATGAGGATCTTAAGAAATCCTTCAAAGCAACCAGTTACTGCTTTCCAAACTCTGTCAGTTTAGACAGTGGCCAAAAGACAGAAAAGTAGGAAAATGCTTCCTTTCTGCTGGTCTCCAGATCTAATACACATTGTTTAGATATTTCATTCTGAGCAAGCTGATGTCTCTTCATAAAGTATAGCCACAAGCAGCTTATTACATGTTTTTTCTCACACCAACATGTCACTAGAACTGCTTTTAAAAGTCACTTAAGATTATATCAGCTCTTACTGAATGCAATCCCAAGAAAGCAAGTAATGCAAGCTTAATTTCCCTGACTCATCTCCATTTTGGAAATACCTTTTAGACATTAAGAACACAGAAAAAAATATATTTAATGGACAGCTACTCTTACGCTGTTTATCTATTTGCACGGCTTGTCCACTTACGCTTTGAATGCTGGGAGATAGGAGTAGATAGAGATACTGCTTAAATTATAGATAAATGGCAGATGCTTGCTAATGTCTGTTGTTGCCCAATTACTGAAGAAAGCATTTAGCAAGCCCTGGTCCCCACCTAAAAGAAACAAGACATGGTAAGGAATCATGAAAAATCATAATCAAGCAATTTTACTACAATCTACTGTCAGCTCTTCTCTTTTTTAACCAAGATGCAGGAACCCTGTCATCCAGGCCTGTACTGGTGATTCATGGATTAGTATTTCTGCTTTGAAAGTATTAGCATTTTACATAGTGCAATTGCTCCAGTGACATGAGAAGGGGTTATATGTCTGACAAACTGAACATTAGAACACTGCTTGCTTATCAAGCATGTTCCTTTATGTTGTTTCATAAGGCAATCAACATCAAGTTGCATGGTGACAATTCAGGTCACTGGGCCTTTTCTACTCAAGTCAGTCTAGCAGAAAATAAAGCGCGGTAAGTAAGACAATCACACTACAGTATTGTCAAAGTAGCAGAGTTTCTCAAGTGATAAGTTCCTGGATTCTTTTGGAACTTAGAATTCCAAGCAGCTAAGCTGCAATTGCCTAAGTGAGCCAACATTTTCTGCAGGGAAGACCAAGATAAAACCCTAGCAGAACCTCACACTCTCAAGCAGATCTTGACTGTCGGGCCCTGGGTCTGTGCACCTAATGAATCACAAGAGAGAACAGAACACTCTCAAGAATTCAGAATTGTTGCTTGGCTGGACAGCGTAACGGTACATCCAGCTCCAGATGATACTGGATAGCAAAAAAAAACAAAAACAAAACAAAAACAAAAAAAAAAAACCAGGTAGTGTTAAGGATGAAGTAACAAACATAGTTTTACGGCCTAAATGGGTTGGGATTTTGCATGAGACGTCTTGTCAAGAAGAAGGCTACAGAATTATTGGGGAACACATGTGCTACCCCCCATGCAGTTATTTTTAATTGAAATAGCATCTGCAAGCGTTCAGATCCACTTTAGTTTCAAGACATCAAGTATCCTAGATACACTATTACATCCTTCAAAAATATTTTAAATAAAAAATGCAGAATAACAGATTTTCATTTACTATCTCATTCACAATAGGACAAAGTATCAGAAGCTGAACAGACACAGAATTAGAACAGGTTATTAGTCATATTTGTCAGGCAGTCTCAACACAATTCTGATTTTCGAAATTAAAGGTTTCATGCTTACTTTAAAAGAAATATATTCATTTCTGTGTTTTTTGTTTTTTTAAAATAGGAGGTATATCCAATTGCTCTGTGTTTGAGGTTCAGTGTCCTTCCAGGAAAGTGACTCTACCTGAAATATCTTTGGTTCTTTTCACAAGTGGTGAATTTGAACTGGTACGATTTTCAGACTTTTAGTAAGCAACTTGGAACACTGTACAGTACTGGCTTTGTAAGCATCCAAAGTAACTGCATAATGTGTTATGAAGTTCTATTCAGTCTAAATTCTGTACAAAGCTAGTATTTTAGATTTACATCTAGCTATTGATAAAGTCCTTATGAAGCCATGGAAGTTAAAATAACACTCAGGGCCAATACATGTTTCTAACAGCAGTTCCATTTCAATTTCTACCACAGCTGAAACTCATGTTATTCAAGATTTCCCCTCAAATAGACCATGGTTCGTGCTGGGATATGCTCTTTGATACTGTCTCTACTTCCAGTTAAATTCAAAATGCTACCTGGGGTTAGGAGATGGGATATAATACTAACTTATTAGGTCAAAACTAAATAAGTTAAATGCAGGCACAAAACATAAAATGTTGTGAAGCTTGTTCTAAACACAATGAAATCACTGTTCTTTTTACTACAAGCCTTCTAGTGTCTATGCCAGTTTAAATAGTGCCAATTCTTAAATTACAGCAGAGACAGTCAAGTGATTCAAAAGCAGAGTCTTAAATAGCTCTTGCGGTTTGACATAGGTGCTTGGTTTTACATTCCTTCTTTGCTTGGTACCTCTAAGGGGACAAATACATATTCTCAAAAGTAACCAAGTTCAGCAGCAAGAGCAGCCTCTTAGCAAGTGTCTTTGGCTTCTACGCTGATGTATAACAAATAATTTCCAAAGTTAGAAATATTAGTAGCATGTTTTGTGCACACAGAAAGATCCCTTGAATTCTCCCCCTCACAAGATAATTAGAATTGATATTGCCATAATACTTCACTCACAATGGTGTTATTATCCAGTTTCTATGGGAATTTTATAGGAAGTAGCAGCTAATTTAACTATGCAGCTATGCTTAGCCAAGGTTTGATTTTAAGTAGTGCAGTGAATAGGTGCAAAATAGAGATTGGGACAAATAAAAAAATGGTGATCCGTTTTTATTTGTGATTCATCAAGGTTAACGGATCAACATATACAAATATTCTTCGATGAGACGAGAAATTGATCCGTCTTCACTTTAAACAGCTATAAAACTGGACCCCAATCAGCTAGAGACACCAAATTTGCAAGGAAGCTTCATCACAAGCTGTTCTATAACTCTTGAAAGTATTGTGAATGTTGGATAACAGACCCCTAAGTTATATAGTCACAAAGAGGGTCTCCACAGGAAAGCTCCCCCCAGGTACTTAGAGAATCCAGAATCACAACAGAGCTTCCTATGTCTTTCCCCAACACGCCTGCCAACTTTGGTGAAGATTGGATATCGGACATCTGAGGTATTCACCCACAAATTGGGTCCCCCCCGAGAGAGTTTACCACACAGCATATTCTGCCTACCGGCCACCAATCAGCTGAACAGAGGCCGACAGGCAACCACCCCACAGCCAGCCAGCCACCCCCTTGGCAGCAGTGATTAAGGTAATGGGTATCAGTGTGAGGGGGGTGGGGGCTAAGATAGGGAAGAGGGTGTGAGGGTAGGCTGTTGGGGTGGTTGGCTGCCTATCTGCCACCGATCAGCTGATTGATGGCTGGTAAGCAGAATGGTGGTTTTTGTTGTTTTTTTAATGGGAAGGGGGTGTCGGTGGGGAAGGGCTAAGGTAGGGAGAGGAAGTGTGTGGGAGGGTAGGCTGCGGGGTTGGGTGATTGCGGGGTGGCAGCGGCGGCTGCCTATCAGCTGATTGGCTGCTGGCAGGCAGAATGGTTTTCTGTTTGTTTAATACAAAGGACGAATAAAAAGAGGTAAATAGTTGTTCCTTCATATTCATGGGGGTCTCAAACCCACAGATATGAGGGAACAAATATTTAACAAATATTTTATATTCTTCCCCATTTCTGGTACAGAAGGATAAAAACATCGGGACCTGCCCTAGTCAGGCTGTTCTCTTGTACTCATAAAATCAACACACTTCTCCACTGTATCTGGCTGTGTTGTTTAAGTTTGTTTTCTGAATATGTGATTTAGTAGTATTTGTTGTAGTTTACAAATATCATGGATGCTTTTGAGGACTCCATCTAAGTCCTAGTTAGAGTAGACTCACTGAATCAGTAGTTGCACAAATATTGACTTAAGTACATATTCCACTCTAGCTAGGACTAACCACTGGGTTTAGCTCCTGTCTCATCCCATATTGCATCAGTTTCTCTGACAAACAGTTACCTTCTCCAGCATGAAAAGCACAGGTTTTCCCAAAGGCTTTGTATACCAAGCGTATTTTGTGACAACATTCTGTCACATGTAGTAGAGTTTCTTTTTGCTGACAATTAAAAAGGACAATGTACAAGAAAGAATAATCTCACAATCACCTAATGTAGCCTGACTTTGGGCATGGCTTCTTAAACTATGTCTGGACAAAGCATAACCCATAAGCCACATGTAGTCAAAATGTGCCCCTCATAGCTCCCCTGCCCCAAATTTTAACTTGTATTTTGATCAGAAAGTCCACTTGTGTCATTTAATCAACAAATGTTGCCATCTTTTGGGCATTAGCAGCAACCCTAAACACTGCACTCCATTTTTTTTCTTACAAGTGAAAAAAATTATCTGACCAATAGAGGTTGGAAGGGAGCTTTTTTAGTTTTTAAAGGAAAATAATTGTGTGAATGGGATGCTGGAGTGGCTACATACCGCTCCTGGACCCCTCTGCAAGAGAGCCCACCTTGCCTTTAAACCAACACCCTGCGAGACCTTTACTGTAGTGTTCTTGCTCCATATATGCAACATGTCATGGGTCCATTGGTTAGACTGAAAGGCAGGGATGGGGACTCAAGTCATGGGACTCACTGTGAAGCCGGACTTAAGTTGCACCTGCAATTTGACTTGGATCCAAAGACTTACCAAAGAAATGGAATCTGGCAGTGGTTAAGCACCTGGCTAATCTGTACTTTGAACCAGGACCCAAAGTGTTGTAAATATATTTTTAATTCATCATGATTAAAGCCCCTCAGGCCCTCCTCTAGCATATGGCTCAAGCAGGGAATTCTACCGTGCTCCTGTCACACCCACTTTCTTTTTTCAAGCAACATTTAACATTATATTCCTAATGTGCATGCTCAGTATTCAATGGACTGCTCTTTTCGTATGTGTTTGTAGTTTATGCCAGTATACCTCCCTCCCAATGTCTGACAATTCTTATCAGAGAAGCATGATAAGCACATAACCTTCATTCCAGACCTCAAGGAGCAAAAGTAAGCAGTGATTATGTTAGAGGTTGCCAGCAATTGTAGCTATCATCTCCGCTCTAATTAGTGTTGGGAGGAGGTCTGCAGCATAATTAGCACTCCAGTTGTTTTGACTATATAGGGTCAAATCAACTATGTAGCCATTCCATCCATTACTACTTACATTTGCCTTGAACTGCCTTTGCTAAAGCCAGCATGCTTCACTCCCACTAATCCATCCTTCCAGAAAGTGCAATGGTAGATGTCTATGCCTGAGGGCATCTAGGACTCCTTTTTGTATAGGCACGAGGCCTGCACTCTAGTCCCTGACAAAGACTCATGCCTATAATTTTTGACATGGTTCATGAGGCTAACAAAAAAAATGTAGCCCTCTACATTCTCTCTCTTTTTAGTGTTCCTGTTTTTCTTTTAATCTTGTTATCACTCATTTTCTGAATTCACTATAGGGATAAATGGCTACCTTTCATTGCATGTAATTCTCAAAAGTGACTTGCAGTTGAATTTTTATGAAAATAATTATGTACGAGTTCTACAATTGAAAACTTCTTGTCTATATGGAATTGTTTTGTCTACACATCTTGCTAACAGAACTCCTTTCTGAAGATTGTAGGAATCCTAAAGAGGCAACCTTGGAAACTGATACTTTATGCGTCACATTTGGTCTACTGAGAGCCAGTGGGTATGGCTGTTTGACTGGAGATATTTGGGTTCAAATGCCAACAAAGGCATTAAGCTCACTGACCTTGGGCCAGTCAATTTCAGCCTAACATTCTTCACAAGGATGTTACAAAGATAAAATTTAAAATGGCCAGGGAGAGAGAACCACAGTTACCTTGAACTCCCTGGGAAAAATCAGAGAAATATTACATACACTTCATGATAAAAACAAATTCACAAATAAAACCTTTTTAGATAGATCATTGAGCACTGCTGAAATTTAACCAAAATATTTCTAAATGCATGAAGAGTTATTTTACCCAGTAGGGTTCTAACAGGACAGTTACTTCTGATTTTTAAGATGCAGCCACAGATAAGGCCACCTTATTTAGGTACAGAACAAGAAATGCAAATATCTTTTGTTCAAATACACTCTCAGTGATTTCCTACAGCACAGCTCTATACCTCTAGCATTGTAGCCATATGTGTTGGTGCTGAATTCTACTTGGTAAAACAACTGCATCTTTCTATCACACCAAGCTGGAAGTAATGTACGTATACCTCCCATTACTCAGCTTCTAAGTACTTGATGAGCCAGTTGTACTGAAGCACTTTGTAAGCCTGTACTGATCTAAGATGCCAAGAAATGCAGGTCTGGGGTTCCATGATGAACCAAGAGTGGCCAAGAGAATTGCCTTGACTATATATAACCTTTATCTCTGCTGGCATGTAGTTTTATTTAATTTTATATCCTACCCTTTCACCATTGAGCTTTAAGTGTTATCACACATGACTCTGCACTTACCCCCAAAAACTCTTGAGGTATGCATCGCAAAGTGAGCACTGCTCAGTGGGGGACTGAAAATGCATCTCTTAAGTCTCAGTCCTGCACTAAATATTATACCTCACTGTCTCTTAATCATGTAATGGCTACATAAGAGAAACCACTGAATTCCCCTTGAAAAGAACAGCAGATTTGATAGTGAACATTCAGTGACTGGAAATGTATAAGCTAAAGCCATCTGGTAATGGTTTAAATGCCTATTTGCTTTAAGGATTCAAATCCTTCACTTAGAACACTATGAATGGTATGGGCTCACATGCACTTGCTGGGTAAAGCTGATACAGCTAAAAATGAAGCAGCACTAACTTTACAAGAAACAGACCCATGCTTCTACTATGCAAGCTACTATCAGTTAGATAAAAGTGCCTGGGCAGTTTTTTTTTTAAAGAGCTGAATGAAGTCTTGAGAGTCTCTTCTTGAATGCATTTCAGTCACATAAAGGTCGCCTATTGATTGAGAAATGTCTTACTTCCTCTTTACTCCATTTCAGTCAATTGAAGGAAACGGCATTAAATGTTTCCTGCACTTTGGTATCAAGTCACACGACACAACCTCTGCAAAAGCATTTTTAGAGGAGCTGAAGCCGCTGCTGCTCAGAACATCGTCCCAATAGATACCTACCATCAAAGCTGCCTTGCTCTGTGGCAAGCTGTAACAGTTGATTGAATGTTTCAATGGATGGCCGATAGACAAACACTCCTGAATTGAAACAGTCAGGCCAGCCTGGATCTGGTGCTGCAGAAAGCTCTTCTCTTTCAAACAGTTCGTCAATGTTTGACAAAACCTAATTGCAGAAAGATGGTGGTGATGGGTTTACACGGTTACTGTTCACCTATGAATGCAATGATTTGTTTACCCTTTCCCAGCATACCCCACTATCTTCAAAACCTCCTACCTGGGATCAGTTTTTCACTGAAGCTGAAGGCAGGACTCCAGGAGTAAGGAACCATATCTGTGGGTGGCAGGGGAGGGAATTCCCCCCCACCCCACAATGCAGATGTCATGGGTCTTTACCTTGGCTCCAGATAAACTGGATACCAAGGTGAAGGATGGATCTTTTTCACCTAACACGACTATCAGGAAACCAGCTTTTCTCCTCCTTCCCCTCCACCGCACAGCAAGAGGGGGAGCAGATCTGTCTGTGCTTTCAGGAGTCATCAACTTCTGTCAGCTTCTGCAAGTGCCAACTGAGTATGGAAGAGGGGTCCTGCTATCCTTAACCCACAATCAATTCCCAGAAAGTCTTCCTTGAAACTGCAAGGTTATTCCCAGTTAATGCAAGCAGGATAGCCCCAGCCATTAACTGATAATAGCTGACATGTCCCAGTAAATATACCAGCACCACCTCTTTAGAGGCAGGAGGGAAATCTGCTTTCTAGAAATGGAATAACTTCCATCATTCTCCTGCAGTCTGCCATATAGCAGACATCTGAGAATTCTGGGGCAATCCAGTTTATTACCTAGGATTATGTTACTTGCATGAAGCAGTGAGCTCAGCTAATGCAGTATCTAATTTTAGGGGACAACCAGAGAATCTCTGGCCCACAGAGCACATATGGCCCATGGGAGTTCCGTATTCAGCTCACAAGCTTCCTTGATGTCTGATCAAGATAGGTGACTTTTTTTAAAGCCATAGAACTACTATATATGACGAGCTTTGGTGCGTAGCTTGGGAAATGGTTGGCTTGGGCTTACACCAAGTAATATTCCTAGCATTAGGCTGTGCTTTTATACTTGTAGAGAAATGCCCCAAATTGTTCTGGTCTCACCTTGTTCCATTATCCCTACTCTCTGCCAGAATACAGCTCTTAAGACTCTTCTCTAAGTGAAATTTAGCTCCCAGCTTAAAGGGTATTATCCTCTTCTTTCACACTGGAACGCCTTACATGGAATCACACACAACATAAAATTTGAAGCCTTCATTCCCTTCGATTAAGGATAAAACTGAACTTGCCAATGGCCCAAATCCTGTTGGTGCTTGTGGAATTTGCTGCGGTTAGTTGAGGAACTGAGTCTTAGTCACATGCCAGATTAAGCCCTGGTACATTTTGGTTGGTCACAACTAACAGCAACTTTCAAACATTACACAAACACCAACAGGAAACACCAGCCATTGTTTTAAACTTGCACCTAAATATTTCAAAAGGATCCATCTTAAAAAACACCAACACTGCACACATTATGGGATATGAAATAAAACATACCATTGTATCTGCATCCATGAACACACACTTTGAATACTGTGTTAGTTCCCAGCAGTGGAGTTTTGTTAATGTAACACCAAGCTCAGGTCTCTTCAATAATGCAAGATGAGCGGAATCACCACTGTCCAAGACATTCACAAGTTTTACTTCATCAAATATTTTGTCTAGTACTTTCCTATTGAATGAAAAAATTCACAAGTTTTACTTCATCAAATATTTTTTCCAGTACTTTCCTATTGAATGAAAAGGACACATTACATCAATATTCATTGCCATGTGTGTCCATGTTACCAATAAGTAATGTAAGTTTCTGAGAAAATTCTGAATTGCAAGTTTTCCCAATGTGGTCATGTCTCATCTAGAACATGATCTGATTTAGCATGTTTATTTGACTTGCATTTACTAAATAAACATTTAAAGTATCTCAACAGTTTACAAGTATTTGAAGTGAAATTCTGAAAGGGGGAAAAATAAACATCAGATAAAACAATGCTAAAATTTCATTAAAATTATTATATTAGAATACTCGTCTCTAAGTTTTTGCAACAACATATACTTTAACAATATTAAAATATTCTGATCATCTTCTTTCTTCATTATACTGACATCACACTCTGGCTGAAATCCTTTTACCTTAGCTCTGTTTGTAGGAGGTTGATGGAGAGATATTCTTGAGATGAAAGAGTTCCACCTTCTCTTGCACAGCTGTTATGATATTGCAGAAGCCATGGGATAGAAGAAGTCTTTCATTATCAATATGATAAATCCAGCAGCAGTTATCTTTGATAATGAAAGACTTCCTCTTTCTCTCCTGCAGCTTCCACCACTTCAACATGAAAAGGAGGATTATTTACAAGTCAGAAAAGCCATGGGGCAGAAGAATGAAGTCTTTGAAAATCTTTCCCTGCTGGTGGCATCATCAACTTTCTGCAGGTACAACTATGCCACTAGTTTTGTTTTTCCTTGACTACTTACTACTACTACTGCAGCTGCTGGATATCTCAGTGGTTTAGGTCATTGGCTGCAAAGCCAGAGGTTGAGAATTCAATTCCCCAGTGCATCTTCCTTGACAAGGCTGGACTCAGTATCTATAGGGTCCCTTTCAGCTCTGCAGTTCAAAGATTACCACCACCACTACTTTGGAGTATTGTTATTATTTCTTCAGAAAAACAAAACATTTACAGTAATAGAGCTTATTTAAATACAGTTCCAACTGACTAAACGAAAGAAAAGAAGTTAGAAATTGCTTTGTGTATGTTGGTAGTTAAAGGAACAATCTGTTTTAGTTTTGATTTGACCTGTACAACCAAAAGATGAATTTATATTTTGATACTAGTTTGGATTATTACAGGATCTATAGTTCTATTTTAACCTGAATCCCTAGATTTACATATACAGTGGTGCCTCTCTTAGCGATCGCTCCATTGAGCAATGAAATCGCTTAGCAATGGGATTTTGGCCATCGCCAGAGCGATTGCTTAGCGATGGCCCCTATGAGAAAAAATCACTTTGTGATGATCGCGGGGAAGCGATCACCGCAAAGCCCCCATTTTCGGCCAGCTGATCGGCGGTTTCAAAATGGCCGCCCGCTGTGTTGCCTCGCTTTAGAGGCACCGAAAATGGCCACCGCAATGGAGGATCTTCGCATAAGGTTAGTTTTAAAGCCCATAGGAATGCATTAAACAAGTTTTAATGCGTTTCTATGGGCTTTTAAAAATCGCTTAGCGACGGTTTTTCCGGAACGGATTAACGTCGCTAAGCGAGGCACCACTGTACATAACTTTGCACATGCTTCACGGGGTAGGTCACCTGAGAAACATGGGAAGAATCTTGTTGGGATATTGCACACATTTAGGGGGAATTATGGAACTTGCTATGGCTATATGACATATGCTAGGCATGTACAGTAATCAACAGGATTGACGCCTCATTCACAACCAGCTGCAGCTTCTGCAGTTCCTCCTGTGTGCATGCACAAACCCAATAGGATTCTGCACATAAATTATAACCCTGAAGTAGTAAAGTGTGCCGAATTTCTGCTGGCATCTAATTCATTGGCAATTAATTTTTGAGACTTTTTTAAAAATGGAAAAACAGTGGAAAAATCGCTGTTTTATATTGCTACCACGTGCTCCTATCTCTGGATCCTCAGCAAATTCCTGCACTATATTTCTGTAAGAGCAAGCCTTTAGGAATTTGCTTATCACCTACCCCTTGTTTCTAACTTAAGATCACAGGAATGCAGATCTTAGAAAATGTTCTTGAAAAGTAGTGGAACAGCAGCACTAAATATTTGTCAGGATGCATACAGAAGTTGCACACACCCACATAGACACATGGGTGAGAGAAATCTAGGGACACTCTTGGTGAACTAGCTAGCTATTTTAAGCTACAAGAGCTAAAGAAGCCATTTTTAAATGGCCGTGCAATGACTCCTGGAAAGGAATTGAGGCTTTCCTAGGATATATGTTTATTTACAGAATAAAATTTATCAAAGTACTGTCAGAACACTAATTACATGTACACCTGAAGCTCATGCAACAGCATTCATTTATTGCTGTTCTGTCCTAGTAAAGAGGTCTAAGATGGGGACACTGAGCTTGCTAAAGAAAATGTTTGATACCTGCATATCCCTCTTTTCTGCTTGTTTTAGAATTATATCCCACTTTGACCAGGACCTTTTATGATATAAGACATAATTTATTAACAGCTTCAGGATTAATAGCAGCTAAGAAGTGGAAAGTAAAATATGAATTTCAGTTAAGTGACTGTTGTAAAGAAATTTGGATTATGATAATGATAAGCTAAACTTATGATATTAAGAGAAAGAGGGGTTGATAAGCAAAAATAATTTTAATGACATATGGGGCCCTTTTATTGACTATGTATTAATAGAAGGGAAAGGTTCTGTACCTTCACAAGCTTCAATACAGGTTTTGGATAGGAGTGGGGCTTCTTAAATGGTGTGCACTTTCTTTTTGTTCACATAAAGTTTATGTGGTTATTTGTTTATTAAGTTCTTTTTTGTTTTAATTTGTATTTTTTTTTGTATTCCAGTGTATTTCCTTTGTTTTGTATTTTTTTCTTTGTTTTTTTAAAAAAAGACATAAATGACAATTATTCTAAAGAGTTATGTGAAAACGATGCTGGTGTGTGTGTGTGTGTGGGGGAGTTTGTAAGATAGATACGTGTGTGTGTGTGTGTGTGTGTGGGGAGTTTGTAAGATAGATATGCAGGCCAGATATGCAAGTCTTAGGATCCACTAACTTGGTGTAAAAAGACTTACAATGAAAAACAAAAATAGTCTACCTCTGGCAACTGAAATATTGCTTTACTTTAGTTATATAATAAAGGAAAAGGGTTATTTTGCTGCTGGCATTGTTAAACAATTGGGAGTCACAAGCCGGAGATATAACAATAGATACAAATGTATCTTTTACTGCAAGGAACAAAATTGTCATTTATTACTACTGCTATTTTTCTGGGATACTTTTTTCCTGAGAAAAGGATTAGTAGTATTGTACAATTACAATAAAGCTATGGCCAAAATCCTGTTGGTGTTAAGGTACACTACAGAAGCCAGATGATATCAGCATCATCCAATCTCAGTAATGTACTCTGAAGATGCCGGCCACAGAGACTGGCAAAATAGGAAGGACAACCTTCAGAACATGGCCAAAGAGCCTGAAAAACCCACAACAACCAGTGTTTAATTTAAATGAATGGAGTCTTGCTATCTATTTCTCCCCCACACCCACCCCCAATTTTAGGTCTCAACGCTCCCTAGAGTTCTCTTTTGCCCTGGGGAAACCTCTGGGAGCCTCATAATGTGGGTGGGGGTGGGAGAGAGGAAGCCTTTAATAGTTAAAAAACAAACAAACACAAAAAAAGCTTCCAGACTACCATTCCTGGGATCAGGACTGTCAGTAACAAACCGCCAGTGATTTTTGTCTATTAAAGCCTTCCTCCCCCTCTTTGATCCCAAAGGCTTCCACAGAGCAAAAGGGTAACTTAGGGAACCCCAGAAGCTGAAGGGGGTGGGTGGGTGAGTTGTAAAAGCTTTCAACTCAATTCTACCAACACCAATGATGATATAATCCAGTTTCCGTGCCATAACTTTATACAAGAGGATTTTGTCCCATATATACAGAGCACATTATAAAGGTAAGGAACTGCCCCCAAAGGCTGTTCTTTTAAAACTGGCCAATCTCATCCTGAAGGTAAGGCTTCAATACTTTGGCCATATCATGAGAAGAGAAGACTCCCTGGAAAAGACCCTGATGTTGGGAAAGTGTGAAGGCAAGAGAAGGGGACGACACAGGACAAGATGGATGGACAATGTCATCGAAGCTACCAACATGAATTTGACCCAACTCTGGGAGGCAGTGGAAAACAGGAGGGCCTGGCATTCTCTGGCCCATGGGGTCACAAAGAGTCAGACACGACTTAACAACTAAACAACAATAACAACCTCATCCTATCAAATCTGCAAGCATAGAGGAATATGCAAAATTGGTCCAAAACACAATGATCGTGGTATCAGCTCTATTATATGTAAGAAATAACAAGCTACTAAGACACCACAGAAATGAAATGGTTATGAGTTATAAAGACAAAAGAATCAAATCTAGAAATACTTGGAAGCAACACAAAACTAATACCTACTAAAGCAACAATAATCTTGGACTTCTGTAGTTCCTTTGGAGAGATTGCTAAGAAAAGGAACCTCTTTTTCAAAACAAAGAAACATTGGTGACTAAAATCTACATCAGTCTGCAGTTTCAAACACGTCTTAAAAGCCTGAGACACCTAGTTCTCATAATTAAAAAACTTCAAAATTTGAAGCCTCCCAAAAACGTAATACTGTGGTAGAAGCACATTAGAGGCTTCTAGAGTTACCTTCATGTCATTGGATCCTCTGCAGCACTGCTCATTTCCTCACAAAGAATTACATTCAGCACCCTGAGCTATACAGGTGCAGCTCCCACCACCAGCATGACTCTTTTTTCTAGGAGCACTATTACTGGTGTGGAATAAAGAGCTAAAAACCTGAGTATTTGTGTTATTGGTTCCTGAAACTGAGAACATGTTTTGGCTATGATCTCTGCTGGAACAGAAGACAGTTCTACCACAATTAAAAGGTCAGGGACTGTGACCCATGGTACAAAAGTTTTAAGTTAAAGGGGGCCTAGACCTAAATTTAAGTACAGAACTCTATACAGAAAGAAGATATTCCCTGCATGTCATTCTGTTATCTCAGTTAAACTGGGGTGTGCAGCTGTTATGGAATGTAGTTTTAGAACACAACTGTCCAGGCCATAGATCCATGTCATTATACAAATACTCCACACAGCAGTGAGGTGATCCAGTCTGACCAAGACAACAAGTGTAAACAACAAATGCTTGTAATGTCATTCAAGGCTCAGGCTGTAGTGTGGGGAACAACCATGATTAATTCAACACGTCAAGCATTATTAGCAGCATCTTTATTCTACATATATTATTTATTTATTTATTTTATTTAAAATATTTTTACCTCATCTTTCTCCTCAAAAGGATCCAAGGTGGATGATATATAGTCCTGATTGATGTTTTCACTAAGAGATCAAATTACTACAGTATTAATTATTTACCTCCTGCTCTATCCTGTATTTACAGACGTAATTGTTACATCTTTCATATAACAGCATTTTTAAAATTCCTGTCCAATATGGTTGTATCTACAGTGAGACACATTTTCATATGTACGTAGTATGTTTTGGAGTCCAAGACCAGACACATGTTGTTAACAGAGTGGCCAAAATCCTTTTGCATAGTGTTGTATGATTCATCGTGTGACTGATAATATCCACAGAAATTTCTTAACTTGAGGCAATTTGCTTCCAAATGTTATGTCATTTGTGCTATGCCAGAATAACTACATAAAACAATTTAAGCCAATATATGAAGCTAGGCTAGACTTCCTTCAGTAAGTACCGCAGATATTGGAGAAACTGCAATACTGAGAGCAGGCTTTCATCTGCTTGCCTGCAATCAATTTCAGCAAACTTTTTGCTATTTTATCGTGCTTCTCCTTGGCCCTACAATGCTGTAACAGGAGCCTTAACGAGCCCTACAACCAATAATACCAGTTTTCATTAACAGCTTCTAATCCAAATTCAGTTTATTACTTTAAATAATGCACCTTTCCCCCAACTTCTTATGATGGAGGCACTAAATTTCTCTAAGTAAAGAAATGATAAGGAGTAACCAAATATTTCACATTTATTTCTATTTTTGTGATTAAAAGCAGAATTTTTCCAATAGTTCTCTTAAGGAGAGTTTGCCTAGTTGTGTTTACCAGGTGCAGGCTGAATTGGTTAATCACCACTATGAAATTAAACCATATCTTTTCATTTTGAGCTAGGCTACTCAAATATCATATATCTTACCTCATTGGATCTGAAACATGTGGAGTGATTAGTATCGTCAACTTTCTGGTGGTTCTGTAATTTCGTAGTGACGATCCCAATACAAGGGCTCCTTTCACATAGGAATCATTTGTGGCTAGCGTCACGAACGACTGATCTTAAGGAGAAGAAATATATAAGTCATATTTGCACTTAAGTTTGGGAGAAATCTGGAAGAAAGTTGCCAGTGCCCCAGTGCACTCTGAAGCCCAGAGCTTGGGATGGTTTTTTTCAACTATAAGAATCCCCCCCCCCCGCCGGGTAGGTGGGGCTCATCAGCCATGGAAGGCAGCCCATCTAGGAGAAGGAAAACTCCAATTTCAAACCTCCACTGCCTTGTGGCTATATCCACTCATGGAAAAGGCTTCAGGAGTTAACCTCGAGGCAAAATCCGGAGCTGGAGTCCCGAAGGCAGCATGTGTCGTTCTGCCAACTCCTGCGACATTGCTGGAACCAGTTGTATTGGCTCTTGCCTTTCCATTGGATCATTTCAGCAATGTGGAGAGGGGGGATCTGCTGCTTGGGTAACACCCTATCCTCCACATTACCTTACCTGGGCTTCATGTTCTGGAGAGGACACTCCTCGATTCAGAGCATGTTACCATAGTCTCTTGAGACTGAAGGATGCCTATGAAGAATTCCCCCAACCAGCACAGTCATTGGCCATAGTGATTGGGGGAGTCTTTCAGCTGTATTCAAAAATACAATTTTTCAAAGCTCTATTAAAACCCATGCAGTTGTTTCAGTACACAAGGTTCTAGTCCCCAGGCTAGACAGAATGGCTAATTTCAGTAGTACAGTATTTATACATCCAAATACCAGTTTCTAGAAGACTGAAGTGTTACCTGGCCTGTCATTATATGAACAGTATATGAGGAGAGTTGACCCACTGTTTGTTCCAACAAGACGTGCAATTTTGTTCCACATACATCATGCTAGGCACTTCCACTCCATCACTTTATGTTAATGTTTAGCTTGTGTAAGGTTTCCAGAATGCAATCTACAGAATGACCTGATTCTAGGCTGCCAGGGATTAGATTATATTTCCTTTATTCTGTGGCCTACTTGTAGTTTCTGCAACAAAAAGCATACAATGCTTGCATCTTCCACACACTCATCTGTGTTTGTGTAACCTAAGTGCCATCAATATCACATTCCAGTTAAATTGTTTGATGCATCTCATGTTTATTTGTATTTTACTGTAGTACAGCTACCAGAAGGTGGCTATATAGCTCAGTGAGTTAGGTATATGGCTGTAGAACTAGAGGCTGAGAATTCAAATCCCACTGTGCCTCCAGGAAAAAAGTCAGCCTGTGTAGTCTTGGGCAAGCTGCAGAGTCCATGGGCAACCAGAAAAGAAAGGAATGATAAGCCACTTTCAAGTATTCTACATCTAGAAAACTTTGAAAAGGGTTGCCATAAGTCCGAAATGCCTTGATGGCACATAGTTATTATTATTACTAGCTAACATAGCAGTGTTTAAAAAAGGGGGGTGTCATTAAAGCAGCCAAACATGTTTTGCCCAAAGGGTTATTTTGTAGCTTTACTGAGGGGCAGCACCTAAAGAAATTTCCTTGTGTTCCAAATGATTTTTTATTAAAATTGATACAAGAGTATGCTATAAAAAGAAGAACCTAGAACAGATATGGTATCTGGTCAGGTATCTGGCTGCAAAGCTAGAGGTTTAAAGTTCAATTCCCCACTGCACCTCCTGGAAGAACAGCCAACCTTTATGACCTTGGGCAAACTACACAGTCCGAGAATGCACCCAGAAGAAGGGAATGGTAAACCACTTTTTAGTATATTTTGCCTTGAAAACCCTTGAAAGGGTCGCTATAAGGCAGAATTGATTTGACAGCACACCATCATCATCATTAATATTGTTATTATAATTATTATTATTATTATTATTCACACAAGACCCCTTTAAACTATATCGTATAAACACATCTTTATTCTGGAACTCATGTAGTTTCAGCGAGCCAAAAACTATACTTCCTGGCAGGAAGAGAACTACACTGCAATGGGACTACTTGAAAACTTGTGTCACAACTCAGATTGTGCAAATTGCACCACACCAACTACCAGAAGCTGAATTCAGAACTTCTCATTTATAAGTTTTCTTCAACACACAGCAATTGTTGCTTAAGTAAAGGGAAAAAAAATTTAATGGCCTGAAACCTTGAATCATATTCTATTTAACTGACTGATGCAATCTAAAGGTATTTCACAGCCCATGGATGGATAATTGTTTCCACAATCTTCAATGCCAACTACGACTCCCCTATGCCATAGCTCTGATATACTTTCATGGCTTAGAACTAAAATAATACCTTTTCAAGTTAGAGAATCAACTCTTTAAACATAGCCACGAATTACAAAGAACTATCCCATCACAGGGCAAATCACCCACCAGTGCAAACTATTACTGTCTGGACTATAACTGTTACATTTCGACATAGGTTTCCCAACCTGGCACACACCACTGGCCCTACTTACCAGGGATTATGAGAGCAACGTTTGGAGAAGTTATGTTTTTGAACCATGACTCCCAGCATCTACCAGCCGAATGAACATATACGCCAGGTTAAGCAAAGACACAATGACATGTAATAGGAGAAGAAATCCACTATCATTTAAATATGTAATTTTGCCAACTGTTCTGAAACAGGGTTTTGATGGGTCTCCAAACTGCATAAACCACAGGTGATGCTCCTAATGCTCTAAAGAGGTCTGTGGCCATTTACCAGTGCATCTGTACCTTTGAATTCCCCAGTAATACAAGTGCTTTTTGGAATCAATTTTTCCACATATAGATGATAAACACCAATACAGTTGCCAAACTGCATGGCCCTCTATGAGGCATTACAATAATCTGGGGAGGCCTTTCTTTCAGTCTCACCACCCTCAGAGGTGAACTTGATAGGGACATGGGAGAGGGTTCTCTCTGCTGCTGCTCCCAGACTCTGGAACTCCTTCCCTTAGGAAGCTAGGCTGGCCTCATTTTTGCTGTCCTTCTGTAGGCAGGTGAAGACCTTCCTCTTCATTCAGGCTTTTCCTAAGGGAATGGCAATATGAGAGGGTTTTTTCAAAATGGATTGTTGTGCTATGTTGTTTTATATGTGTTTTAGTATTGATTTTATTTACTGTTTTTTATATAATACTTGCTTAATTCAATTTAAATATTTGTATACTTATTGTTTTTAGCTTTCAAATATTCTATTTTTAATTATGTAAGCCACCTTGGGAAATTTTGAGAAAGGTAGGGTAAAATATTTTAAACACATAATAAAACTGTGTAATTGGGGACTGATTACAGATCCCTGTAATACATACTTTCTTAATGAATTACTGTCTAAGATATTTGGCTATACCAGGCTTTCCTTCTAAGAGGCTGCATCCTTTGTTGTCCGGGTTGGTTAGCTATTTATTAAAGAAGGACTAAGTGCCTCAGGAACTGGCAAGTCACTCTATCTTTGCCAAGAAAACTCCATTGTCAAAAACAAAAGACTAAAAGATAGGACACTGGAAAATAAGCCCCTCAGTTCAGAAGGCATCCAACATACTACTGAGGAGGAGCAGAGGACAAGTACAAGTAGCTCAAGAGCTAATGAAGTGGTTGGGCCAAAGCCGAAAGGATGCTCAGCTGCAGACGCGCCTGGAAGGA